TTTTTTTTATATATATATATATATATATAACATTTCTGTCCCCCTCACTTCTGAAATGATGGCTACGCCCCTGCTTTCAGCAGATATCCAAACAAAAGTAACAAAAAAAAGGATGTTAGGGTCACCCTATTTTAAAGGACCCTGTTCTTAACTGTCAAGAGCTGCATATTTCACTATACGTTATTATTATGCCAACCTGTCACAATGTGATCAAGCTTTGCAGAGAGGCTGTTAAAGATAAATGGAGCATTTAAAAACTATATTGGCAACAAACCCTTGCATTTAAGCGTCATTTATCATTTCACCTGTGAAGAGGGCATTTACATAGAAGTCTCAAGAGCATAAGAGTAATAAAACACCTGTTTAAAAGGGTCAGAGACAAGGAAAATGATCATAAAACTAAATTATGAATGCTCAAAACACTTTACTAGCATTGTAAGTGGACCTTAGGGAGAACTATTGAGTGATAAAAAATGTATGATATGACCACTTTAACAAGAGCAAAACACACTAGTGGTTTCTTCTTTGTGCTTGCAGGAATACAGAAGCTGGTATTGGCAGGACGTGTCGGAGAAGCCATTGATGCAACACAGCAGTTGTACCCCGGACTCCTAGAACACGACCCCAATTTACTCTTCATGTTGAAGTGAGTACTGTATGTCTACCAGCCTCTGAGAACCATGTGTGTGTCTTTTTGTTTGAAATGGATCAAGAGGAATTGCTTAAATCCTGAAACAAGGTGAAAAATGTGTTCTCTTTTCTGGGGATCAGTAGAGCTCAGTTGTATTTGAACTTCCAAATCTTTTTGGAGTTTCATAGTGCAAACGTACTCAGAAAACATGTAGCCTGAGATTAGGGCAGTCTTTAACTCTGTACATAATGAAGGTTTCTAAAGTGCCCTATGGTCATTCTGACGAATAGGGCTCTGTTTTTGTTACTTGTCTTTATAGAAAAAAACACACAGGGTGAAAAGAGGGTCATGGTTGCTTTGGACTGAGCTGCTTCTGATATGATTAGTTATATTATTGCATAAGGTTGAATATGAACTGCCTTTGAACTAACTTTTTAGTATGCTTACAAGTCATACATAAGCAAAAGCAATTGAATTGTGAATGTTTTTTATAATATTCAGGCCATGCTTCCAAATATTTATCTTGCTGAGAGGTTTTTGTGGGAACAATGACTTAAGACTTTTAAATTGCATGCAAATAGAAGATCCACCTACTAAAATAAGTGGATGCAAATAATAACTGAAGTTAACAAAATGGAAAGGTTTGCATAGTTGCTTTCACTTAAAAAATAAAAGTTATTGAGAGTTAACGGGGAATGGTAAGTTTTGGTTTTGGCTGGCATTCTAACATTAAAAAAAAAATTCAATGTATTCAAAAAAGCAATGTATCACAGTTTCTACAAAAATATGAAGCAGCAGCTGTTTTCAACATTGATAATAATAGGAAATGTTTATTTTACAGCAGAATAAAATGATACAAAATTATTTCTGATGGATCATGTGATACTGAAGACTGTAGTAATGGCTGCTGAAAATTCAGCTTTGCCATCACAGGAATAAATTACATTTTAAAATATAAAAGTTAAAACATTTTCATTTGTAAAAATATTTTACAATATCACTTGTTTATACTGCATTTTTATGAAATAAATTAAGCCTTGGTGATCATATAAGAGACTTCTTTAAAAAACTTGAGTGATTTGAGTGATTTCCGGCAACTATGTTCTTTGTTAGTCTTCTGGTCTTAGGCCTAAAGGGATAGTTCACCCAAAAATGAAAATGCTGTCATCATTTACTCATCCTCAAGTTGTTCCAAACCTGTATGAGTTTGTTTCTTCTGCTGAACACAAAAGATATTTAGAAAAATGTGTGTAACCAACAGTTGATGGTCCTCATTGTCTCCCATAGTATTTTTTTCCATACTATGGCTTATCAGCTGTTTGGTTACCCGTATTCCTCTAAATATCTTTTATGCGAGTAAACACCCTCAGAATTTTCATTTTTGTGTGAACTATCCCTTTAATAATTCTTTGTCATGCATTGAAAGCATGATATCCCTGATCTTTGGTCCTCAAGCAAACTGCATTCAGACAATCAGTGTAAGCCCTATAGAGCAATAAACCCTGTTCTCAACATGTTACTGGCATTTATGGGGCATTTGCTGCCTCTGTGTAATGTTGAACTTCTCTTTGGGAACAATTGCTATTATGTTTGCTTGGCTGGAATTTCGTTTTGACATAAAGATAAAACTGATTTTTTTTTATATATAAAGCCTTACATGGAGATGCATGCATGCTATTATTTAATTGCACTGTTGGATGCTAACAGTTGAATGACAAGCAGACAGTTTAATGGATTGCTGAGCCGACAGTGTCAGTCAGTAGGCATAATGGATAACAGAAACCTGGTTGACAGACATTTGAACTGATTGGCAGGTCTGAAGTGAGTGTGTATTTGTGTGAGATCTCACTGGTATAAAAGTGATTTTTGCTGCTCTCCCTTAGGTGTCGGCAGTTTGTGGAGATGGTGAATGGAACAGATAGTGAGGTACGGTGCTTTAGTGCCCGCTCTCCTAAATCACAGGACAGCTATCCTGGCTCCCCCAACCTGAGCCCGCGGCACGGAGCCACCAACGCTCACTTGCACAACACAGGTGACAGACACACTCCACACTAACATCTTCAGTGTTACTTAAAAGTTAAGCACTTTGTGATTTAATGTATTTGGTTGAATCATAAAAATTCCTTGTTTCATCTGATAATCGAAGTATTTTGCATAAGTGAAACAAATTGAAATTGTGACATTATTTGCATGACATTTAAACCAATTTTCTCTCCTAAATGCTCATTAACATAATTAAAAAAAAAAATCATGAATAAATTATCATTAATAAAAACATCTATTACATCAATACAGCAATTCAAATACCATGTTGTGTATTTCCAATTGCACTTTATACATTTTCTTAATTATTGATCTAAATTAATTCATGCTTATTAAGATTTATTACGTTTTTTCACATTACAGTAATGAGAAGGACTTTTTTTGCATTATATTTATATGAAAATAATGTTACAGTGCAAACATTTGTAATGCTTCTAACTTAGGCTTCATTTTTTTGTGAAATGTTTTTGGTAACACTTTATTTTAAGATTCAATTCTCACTATTAACTAGTTTCTTATTAATATGCATATTTCTAGCATATTAGCTGTTTCTTAGTACTTATTAGGCACATATTAATGCCTTATTCTGCATGACCATGTTCTAGATCCCCTGCCTAAACTTAACAACTGCCTTATTAACTATTAATAAGCAGCAAATTAGGAGTTTATTGAGGGAAAACACTTAGTTAATAGCGAATGTGTTCCCTAATCTAAAGTGTTTGCATATTATTATTATTAGTAGTAGTAGTAGTAGTTTTTATTTAATTTGAGGTCACATATGACCTTGATATTTATTAATGTCTACAGTGTTTCTGTTAAATTGCCTTGAACAGGCCCACACAGAATCTGTATACCTTTTTTTTTTTTCTCCAAAAAGTGTAGGGTAGAAATCTATGCAATTAGAAGCAGTTAATCATTGATTCATTCCTTTTTGTTAGCATTATTACAATCAATTTATTAAATTTATTTCAACAAATAACACCATGATGTGTATTTACACTTGCACTCTATACATCTTTTTAATTACAAATCTAATTTAATTCATATTTATTCATTTATTTCTTAGCTGAGCTAACTAATCTAATAGGTAGCTGAGAGCATTAATCAAATTAGCCCAAATATTTATTAAACCAAGATGCAAGGGTTGAAGGATGTATAGACCTTTGTGAAGAACAGATGTTCAAATTCAGAATTCCGTGGGCTTAGATTCTGTGTGGGTCTGATCATGAGTAACATGCTTCATAAAAGATGTGGAGCAGATGGTTTCTTGAATCACTTGTTTCACCTGTACTGCAGTTGGCTGGATTATGTAACTTACAATTGAAGTGATGCCCTTTCATTCATATTGTTTCTCAAGATAGTTCTCATTATTTCTTTCTCTCCTCATGACTCAGGAGCAGACAGTCCCACATGCAGTAACGGGGTCACCCCTACTAACAAAAATAAGAGCCACAACAAATACACAGGCGTAAGCTCCGCCTCCTCCTCTCCATCCTCCTCTCCTTCCTCCGTCAATTACTCCGAGTCCAACTCTACCGACTCCACCAAGTCCCAGCCCCACAGTGCCACCAGCAACCAGGAGACTAGGTCTGTGTTGTTGTTTGGGTTAGTAATTGGCTTTTCGTCTTTGAACCAGACAGAAAAACAGAATATGTGGTCCTATGCAAGCAAGGCCAAGCATATAAAATTGAACTTGCTCACAAATGTTGTGTGCTTACATTCTCGAGAGCCCAGCTCTGCTGTTGACTGTGTATTTTTGTGTGTTGACAGTGATAGTGAGATGGAAATCGAGGCAGAACATTACAGCAACGGCGTGACAGAAAGCTCAACCCGCATTATGAATGGCACATACAAACACCAGGAAATCCTGCAGGCGGATGACAACAGTGTTGGCAATGGAGTAGCAGGTACAGGACATGCTCGCACACCACATATGCAGGACTTTCAACGTCGTACGCAACAGGCTGTGAGAATGCCTTTTTAAAATTTGTCTCCTTATTCCTCATTCATTCTTCACTCTGAAGTGACTAGTTCTTTCTCTGCTTTCTCTGTCCTTCTCTCCCTTGAGAGCTGCTAAATTGAGCTTCTCTATAATTCAGCCCATTAAATGTTTTTCTCCAAGGTTACAAAGAGAGAGAGTGTAGTTGCAAAGTTTTTGTAGTTTTGTAGTTGCAAAGTTTTTGTAGAGTGTGACGTTTATTTATAGCACCCAGTGCTCAGTGTTTTTTTTTTTTTCCAACATTTCTTGTAATACTTTCAGGCATGTTTTTATTATTATTATTATTATTTTTGCTTAGATTTGAGAAAATGGCTCAAATTGATTTAAAATTTTTATTCAGACTATTAAAGGGAGGACTTTTTAATGTTATATTATATACATTATATATTATTATGTTATTATTTTATATTATTTTGTTGTTGAATGTTATGGTGTCAGTAACTTTTTAAAATTAATTAATATATTAATTCTGCAAGGATGCATTAAATGGACATTTATAATGTTACAAACTATTTCTGTTACAAAAAGGTATCACAATTTCCACAAAAATATGAACATTTTCAACATAGATAATAATAAGAAATGTTTCTTGAACACCAAATCAGCATAGAATGATTTCTGAAGGATCATGTGACACTGAAGACGGAAGTAATGCATGAATAAATTACATTTTCAAATAGAAAACAATTATATTATTCAATTGTAATAATATTTCACAATATTGCTGTTTTTACTGTATTTCTGATAAAAAAATGTTGAGCTTGGTGAGCTTAAAGGGGTCATATGATGCTGCTAAAAAGAACATTATTTTGTGTATTTGGTGTAATGAAATGTGTTTATGCTGTTTAAGCTTAAAAAAACACATTATTTTCCACATACTGATGTGTTAGAACGAGAAGTTTTAGGTAGGCGTGGTTGACTCTTAACTTTTATAAAGAATATCTCTTTGGATTTGAGACTTTAGTCTTTGCAACTTTACAGATCTTCTTTATGCACCAAGAGCTTGTAACACTCCAAAGAGAAAGGAAAAATGTAAATCATATGACCCCTTTAAGAGACTTCTTTCTAAAACATCTTAAACGTTCGTATTATATTATATTACAATATTTGCATTTCCAATAGTTCCACTCACTTATTAAACATAGCCTCAGATTAATAAAATAATTTAGGTGAGATTTCCCAGCAGTACTATATTGAAGCAATTTAACCACAAAAGCTATGTGTACCATGCAATTAGAGTTGCAAACATGTCTGCTTTTGTGGTTTCATTGCAATTTATCTGCTCCTCTAGATGACAGCTGCAGCTCAAGACAGCTGTGTGGAGGAAACCAGGCGGCCACGGAGAGAATGATCCAGTTCGGCAGAGAGCTTCAGGCCCTCAGCGAGCAGCTTTGCCGCCAATACGGCAAAAACGCCACTCACAAAAAGATGCTGCAGGTAGGAGTGATGGAGGGAAAGAGGAGGGTAGGGTGTTATGGTGATATTGTGCAATCATAACACATCAGTTTGAATGTTGTGTTTTATATTAAATATTGGTGAAGTGGTCTATTTAGACATGCAATAATATTCTGAGCATATAAACTAATCTGTTCAACTCCTCTGCCTCTTGTTTGTTGCTGATGCAAATACACAGTTGAAGTGGAAACTTGATTAGCCCTGTGGGTAGCAGTACACTTGCATCCTTTGTGCCCACTCGCCAATGTATTTGTTTGTTTGTTTGTTTGTGTGTGTGTGTGTTCAGGATGCATTCAGTCTGCTGGCGTACTCGGACCCCTGGAACTGCCCCGTGGGCCAGCAGTTGGACCCCATGCAAAGAGAGGCGATCTGCTCCGCTCTCAACAGTGCTATTCTGGGTAAGGCTGCTTGGCTGGCTGAGATCACACACTACTAAGTTCTGTGAACATGATCGCTCATGTAGGCCTTTTAATTTACATGTGGCTGCAGTAACATGAGACCGATAAAAGAGCTTGTAATGGTCTGGTAACATGGCCGTGAGTTGTTATTATCATTCCTAAATATTTAATGGTTTTAATGGCCTCATATCTGTGATCTTGTCCTTCATTCAGAGTCTCAGAATCTGCCCAAACAGCCTCCACTCATGCTGGCTTTGGGTCAGGCCACCGAGTGCGTGCAGCTGATGGCCAAGGTTCGCTCTGGTTCCTGCTCCTTCGCCAGAGTCGACAACTTTTTGCACTAGCACCAGTCCAGACAAGAGCACCAAGGTAATTATAGGTTTAAAAAATACTATATTTTTATTTTTTTATACAGGAATTTGATTGTAAAATTCAGTTTAGTTTATTAGTTTAGTTTGTTTTAATTCAAGGCTAAATTATTAATTTTTTTTTATTTATTATTTTTTTTTATTCATTTTATTTGCATTTTAATTTTAATTCAGTGTCATTTTTCAGTTTTCATCCCTTTTAACATGGGAACATAAATCATTCTGTATATAACAAGACACTTTATCAGAAAATGTGAAATGTAATTAGTGGGTAGTTGGTTTTCTAACGTTTAGCAAGATTAAGTAAATCAGACAGTGCTGCATGAATAAATAATATAAAAATAAAGTTAATTTCTCTGTAATTTTATTGAATTTTTGTTTATTTTTTATTGCATTTTTATAAGTCTGATTTAGTGTTTGTTCTTCTAGTGTTTGTTAAATTTACCTTTTATTTTTACTTTATTTAGATTTTTTCCACTTGTAGTTTTATTTTAATTCAGTATAATTTCAGTTTTTCATTCCTTGTCCACTTTATTTTTAACATAAGAGCAGGTGTGGCTATTTGTAACTTGAATGTGTAAGGCTTCCAGGGTCATTTGCTATTTTAGCAGTACAGAAACAGTGTAATGCTGCTTTATATTGCAAACTGTGATATTGTCATATTATTTTAACATATTATTATAATCAAAAACAAACTGGTTTGTAGCACAATCAGTTTTACAGGTTACTACACATTGTTATTCTGCTAGTTATTTGCCTACTAATGAATCAAATGTCTTGCACATTCAAGGTGAATGATATAATATGACAACTAAAGTAATTTTTTTTTTGTAATTTTATTCAATTTTTGTTCATGTTTGAATACACATTTATAGGTCTTAAGTGTTCATTCTTTTGCAAAATCACTTTTGTTTTACTTGGCCTCTTTTTCCGCTGCTGTTTTTATTTATTTATTAAATATTCCAGTACTTCTATTGTCCATGTTAAAAACGTAACATTTGTATTTCCCTCAGGCAGTGTTCGGGACAGCTAAGCGGAGGTCTTTCCAGTTGGTTGCCATGAGGAGAACACGCGTTTGAATTGGTGTGTCGCTTGCCGTTTGCCAGAAGCAGCCGAGCAGAATGAATAGAAACATGAGAAGAGAGGCTTCTTTTTAATTTAGTATTATCAAATACAAATTGTGTGACACTATTTAAAGATAATTAATTATTCTGTTTATCTAGTCATTTTTATTTTAGTTTATATTTTGTCTTCCCAAACTATTTTTTTTTTTTCATGGGTGAATTCAGTGCATAGTATTTCAAGCGTACCATATCAACAAAATACATAATGGTAAGTTCCTACTGAAAATTTGAGCTACGCACTCTGGTTTTTCTCAGTCAGAGCTCAGGTATTTAGACGTCGTCAGAGCGGGATGTTTGCGGACACAGGTGTCGCTTCACCAGATCATACTGTGGGTTTTTAAGCAGGTCCTTTTCTATGTACAAGCCAATTCTATAGGGTTTTTTTTGTTTTTAATTTGGTCAACCTTAACAGCCCCTTTAGCAATTAAATGGACGTTGGTGTTGCGCATATGTGAATTAGGCGTGACTTTACGATGTTTTTGTGCGAGAGGGTGAGATAATGCATGGCTCCTAGCGTCTTTTAAGCTACTTTAGTATCTCAGGCACCAGCACGAGTTTCATTAGACACAATCACACAGTGACGACGCAGACTTGCCTTTGGGTCCAATGTAGATGACTTATATTTTCAACCATAGACCTTTGCCCAAAAATAAATCTATTTTACCAATATTTTACCATCTTTATAGCAGTGGGTATCGTGCAGATGTCAACCCTCACTTTTTTTAAGTTTTAAGTTAGGTTTATTGAAGTTAACAAGTGGTTTTCTGATTTTTGTGGCTGTACCAAATAAAAACGCAACGCTTTTGACAAAAGAAAATTAAGGTCAGTAGTTTGATTACTGAGAAGCTCCACTGAAGCTTGCAGACTAACTTCGTATACGAAGTCTGTACGTTTTATACCCATGTGAATAGTGTCACCGTGTTGATAGTTCTCCTGTTAGATTAACAACTACAAACTGACACCGTTTCGACTTCTGTTGTTGGTTGTTTCATTAGCTGTTAAGTACTGTTGTTCAAGTTCGAAAGTAGCCAAAATCTTTGTCGAGATCATCTTAGTCATGTGATGATGTTCCTGCCTCAAAAGACAATGGAGCAGGATGAATGGAATGGAGTACAGCAAGCTGTGCACAATTTACTTCTATTATGATTTTAATTTTATTTGAGTTTTCTTTTAACAATTGTGAAATGGGTTACCCTCTACTTAGCATGATCCTTTAAAAACCTTTAAAACAACATAAAAAAGAAAACCGATTTAAAAAAGAAAAAAAAGAGACATACCTATGTACTGGAAACATGATAAAGAAATATTGTACTCGTTTAATTTTGACAGAATTATTTTTATTAAAATACACATCCATGAGCAAATTGTGTCCATTTTGTATTATTTTGTTGTTCTTGTTTCTTCGTATGGAAATGAATATATTGTTCCTGCATCTTTGCGGTAACTGCATTTTTGGCATATATATATATATATATATATATATATATATATACATACAATGTTCTTGCATAGATAATCTATTCCTACAAAATACACTTTTTATACCGAGTCCATAAAATGTGTGTGGCTCAGGATCAGATGTGTAAATACTGTTCAGGATCTATTGTAAAATGCTTTCATGCATTGGATATGTTTATTCCTGTCAACTCCATTGAGATATGTGCCTTATTACACCTACATTTGCATGAATTCATTTTGCAGATTGGATGCACTAAAAATGTTTGTGGGGGAAAGACGCAATTGATTAGAGAGACTTGACAGTAGTATTTTATAAATGCATTTGAATCTAACAGAAATATTTATTCTGCGTACTGTATATTGTATATAGGGAAAATAAGAGAATTAATGCACATAGGTGGTTTGATGAGGGAGTGAAAGGTTAATGGTCCATCACATGCAGCAGGTCATTAGTCTTTCTAAGAAGCTGTACCTGGATGATCCTGCACCTTCAGACTTTCTCTTGACCCCCTTCTTGAAGATGGGCTGCTTTTCTTGAGATGTTTGGATGTTGAAATACATGGACATCACCTCTGGCCCTTCTGTGAAAAAATCACATTATGTGTGTTGGTGTTTATAAATAATTATAAGACCATAGCTTGCCATCTTCTTAAACTCATAACTAAGCTTTAAAGCATGGAGAGCAGTAAATATTTAATGCTCTTTAAATGTGGGAAATTCGTCACATCAAGTTCCTCTTCATAAAGCTCACGGTTGACCACCACAGATCCGCCATCACCCACTGAAACACGGGTCAAGTGATAGTAAATCAGGTAAAGTAGAAGAGAAACACTTAATTTGAAAGAAAATGTAATTAGCTATTTTTATTATTACTTGAAGCCTTGCCGTCCTTTTACAAATAAACATGTCAGCGGGAAGTTGTATGCTGACTTTCCCCTTTACAGGTAGGCTAATATTGGATTACATTTACATCTCTAGATGTAGGTCATAAAAATTACAAAAACATGGCCTTAAGGACGTAACTGAAATTAATGTACAACTGAGAGCATTTACGCTTTCACACCTGAAAGGATCGGTTAATCGGTTACCCGGATCATCAGTGATAACCAGTATAACCAGTCTTTCCAAAAAAAACCCGCCGTTGAGCATTTTGCTTAGATTGATGGACTTTCTTGGTGTGTTTCTGTGCATGTTCATTATGCTGTATCAATTTACAAATGAGCTGTTATGTAAATTTTGCAGGTGAGAATCGTGAGCCGTAACTATAGAAACAGGTTTGAATCGTCACTACCAGCATTAGACAGCAGAGAGCGCCATTTCACACCTCAACCGATGACCGGGGTCCACTAGAGGGCCTCAGTAAACCTCGAATGCCAATATGTCTTATTATATGTATTATTTAAATTACTTTGAATATATAGTTAACATGCCAAATATATTTGCATACTATATTTAGATAATATGCTACACATTTGCATATTATTTTGTACTTATCAGGAACTCTACAAGCAGTTTACAACTTTGACAAACAAAACCGACAATTAATCTGTCCCCTCAACAGATGTCAGTGGCTTTGAACATTTGTATTGGTTAATTATGGGTTTTTGCTGATGTGTTTATTATAAAGTTATAGGCTAGATGAGGGACAAAATTAAGTTCTGAAGAAATGTCAGCAATGTCCAGTTGTGCATGTTTAGACCAGGGGTGCCCAAACTCGGTCCTGGAGGGCCGGTGTCCTGCAGAGTTTAGCTCCAACCCTAATCAAACACACCTGAACCAGCTAATCAAGCTCTTACTAGGCATGCTAGAAACGTCCCGGCAGGTGTGTTGAGGCAATTTTGAGCTAAACTCTGCAGGACACCGGCCCTCCAGGACCGAGTTCGGGCACCCCTGGTTTAGACCATCTGTGGAATCACGAAAACAGATTTTATTTTCTTTAAAAAGGAGCAAATTTAGCATGCTGAATTTTGCAATTAATTACGATTATTTTAATGTACTAACAGTCCTAATTTTCTGTTTTAGAAAAAGCAACTCTGTTATGATTTTAATAGACATACAAGAGGGGGAAAATCACAGCCCGTGTTACAAAGGTTGAGAATCACAATCGCTCTAGTCAGAGCGATTATTGATTTCCTGCAATCTGAGAGAAGGTATCACAAATCTAATGTGTCCTTTATATGTAATGCAATAATGCTCAAATTCTTTGTACTGTGGGTGAAGTGCATCCAGCTTCTACATCTTGCTAAAAAAGAAATAACCAGGTTTTTCCATATTTTCTCTGAAATTATAAAGAACATAAACCACAGGTCCCAAAAATTCTATGCATCTATCATTTTGGTTAAATATATGAACTACAAACATTCAAAATACACAATTACTAAAAGACTATAGCGACAAAATATAGATTGATTTGATCATACTAATCGTTGCAAAATTTCAAGTAAAAATTTAAATTTTGTAAAAAGAAAATACATAACCTAAATACATTTTAAATACTTTTATTATCTTGATAGAACATTTTATAATCAGCGTATAACATTCACAGTATTGTACACCTTGACCCATCTGATTATAATAAAAACACAAGCATCTAAAAGATTTTAGTTTTGTTTGTGAAACTCAAAAGAAATAGAAACCTCCTTTCCAGAATTCTAATATACATACAAAAGTACAAGAATAAGAAAAATACTTTCCATATTTTACACATATATAAAATGCTCTTTTTTTTTTATAAAAAAGGGCTTCTAGTGTACAAAAGTGTCCGTCATTTCATATTACTATTTATACATATACATTGACATACACAAAAAACATAATGCTCATGTGGTATTATCGGTGCTCCGGTTGTGTGCTGTTCTATGTAGTTTACATGCCATCACTTTCTCTTTAAAATCCAGCTCTCTCTTCATCTAGAGTATGCCAATAAAACCTATTCAATTAAATATAGAAAACAAAACAAAGTGACAGTTCACGCTTCTCCAGATGTCTCTTGCTATACGTTTCAAATCACCCTCTGGTTTCATTTGTCCTCACTGTCTGCTGTGAAAACCCCAGGCAATGAGTCACTGAGTGTGCAGTTGCGCAGATGTTACGTCTAGATTGTTCAAATAAACTACATTCTCTTTCAGACTCAAGGCTACCTTGATAAATGTCAGTTCTGTGGCGAAGTAACACCTCATTTGTTTTGCTGATCAAGTTAAACCAGATAATGCTGAGCAGATGAGGCTACACCTTCATGAATCACGCCCATCATTTATGACACGGAAAGACTGGCTTCCTGATTCATTTTACTGGTACCTGCTTCTAACTGAAAATGTAAAACTCAAGATGTCCTTCAAAACATTTGGAATAATTAAAAAAAAAAAAATGTGTGACCGTGGACCACAAAACCGGTCATAAGGGTCAATTTTAAATGAGATTTATTTGGCTGAGATACAACTGTTTGAAACTCTGGAATCTGAGGGTGCAAAAAACTGTAAATATTGAGAAAATCGCCTTTAAAGTTGTCGAAATGAAGTTCTTAGCAATGCATATTACTAATCAAAAATTAAGTTTTAATATATTTACGGTAGGAAATTTACAAAATATCTTCATGGAACTTGATCTTTACTTAATATCCTAATGATTTTATTTCGATAATTTTGACCCATACAATCTTTGTATTTGTATATTTTGGCTATTGCTACAAATATACCCGTGCTACTTATGACTGGTTTTGTGGTCCAGGGTCACATATATTAGTAACATCTTCATTTATTCCTAAAACTATTATGATGAAGGAGAATTAGCTGATCAGTACAGCTGGAAAAAGCGCTGAGATTTTTTTAATGCATTTCACCATCCTTTCTCCATCATGGTTTGATAGACAGCCTTTGAAGCGCAGGACGTCCCGAGGCCGGTATCTCCACAGTCTAAACAAGCGTTCACCTGGGAGCTCGTTGCCTGAAAACAGCACTCGGGTCTGTTGGACATTAGAGAAACCAATATTTGGCTCCAGGACTGACAGTGTCCATCCACCTCAGTGCCGTTTCTGTAAGATTATACTTTAAAAATAAGAGCGAACACACTCATGCAGCACACACTCACCGTGGCTAAGAAAGCCTCACAGCTTTGGCCATCAGGAGTGGACTGTGTGAAAAAAGTCCCAATGTGCAGAATTCTGGCCTTTCCAAACATGAAAAGAATTTCCTTTTTTTGCTCTTTACAGAAAAACTGAGCACACCGGAGAATGGACAGACTGAGTCAATGAGAGGTCAAGTCTTTCTGAAGTTACACCTCACTGGTGCCAGTTAAGTATATAGATTCCTATTTTTCCGGAGGGGGAGAAAAACTAAAAACAAAGAGGGAAAACCGGGTTGACATCCTTCAACAAGAAAGAACCTGTGTCAATGTTTTTTAAACATTTTATCAACTCCCCTCATGTTGTTCCAAACCTGTTTAACTTTTTTCCTCTGTAGAACATAGAAGATGACATTTTGAGAAAAGTATCTGTGTTTTTTGTAAGTCAATGGTATCCAAACTACTGGGTAACCAAAAATCTTCAAAATATCTTATTT